AAAAAAAAAATTCATTGAACGCAACAAAAATACGATTAAAAGAAAAGCAGCGAAACAAAAACGAACACAAAATGAATTTCTTCTTCATATTTGTCCCCCCCCCCTCGTTGTCTTGTTCTGTTTCACCTTGAAAAATTACAGGCATATCATCTTCGTCCACAACTGACCGGCTGACTGTCGAAGTGCAGTTGCCGCCGTGACGATGACACTGATACATGTGGCAACAATCCCACAGTTTGCTGCAGTAATTGAGCAAAACAAGAACAGCCTGTTAACCAGTTCAAATTAACCAGTTAGTCTAACTACTAATCGACTAACTAACCAACTGCCTGTCCCGCTAACTGATACAGTTACCCAAATTAAATATTAAATATGACAGGGGAAAAAGTACTGTGTAACATTTGCACATCAAAATTACGCAATTTTTAAAATATGAAAGAAAAAGCACACAAGCAAAAAAAAAAAAAAAAATGGAAAAGACTCTTTTCCGTCCTATATCCTTTCTGTTTGCTGCACCTCCAGTCGGTTCTTTTCTTTTTTTTTTTTTTATTTTGTTGGCACTGAGAATAAATGTAGTTTGAAAAAAGAAAGAAAACTCAGAATCAATTAGAATATCTTCCGTTAAGAATAATATTAACGGAACGGAAATGAAAAAAAAAAATTTTTCTTTTTTTTGTTGTCTAAATTTTCATTTTTTTTTTCAAGCTTCAAAACAAACATCAAATGAAGCAAAAAAGAAAAAAAAAAGAAAAGAAAAACAGCAACAACAACATTAACTTTAGTGAAAGCTAAACGGCATTTTCTATTGTCCTTTATACAACAATAAGCCCAACTAAAATAACTCAAACAAATATGACAAACAAATAGATAATTTGCTGATGTCGATGGTAATGGTGATGATAACGATGATGATGATGGTCGCCGATCATCATCATCATCATCATCATCATCATCATCATCAGTCTTCTCATCATCATCATCATCATCATCATCATCATCATCATCATGAAGACGATGATAATGATGGCGACGATGTTGATGGTAACGGTGATCTTGGTAAATGAAAGGGCAGGAGCAGCACTGAAAAAAAAAAAATATGGGCAAAAACTCTCTTGCAGTTTTAACGTTAAATGTTGCCAAATAGAGAATGTTAACCTTAAAATAGGCGTCACTTTTTCTTTTTCCCATTGAACACAATGAACTATAAATATCCCTCCCCTTATTCTCCCCCATTAAACAGTCCTTTTTGATGGCCATTTTCATTAACTTTACTGACAGTTTTCAGTTTTTCCCCTCTTTCTTTCTTTCCTCAATTCTTTTTCTTTCCTTTTTTTTTTCCACTATGAGCACCCATAAATTAGTTCTTCGGTTGCCTTCCTTTCTTTCCTTTTTTTTTTTTTCATTGAAGGCAATCGTCCATTTATACAGTTCTCCACATCAGTATTTTTTTTTCTTTCTTTTGTAGTAAAACACATTGAACGTCGTTAAGCAAGAGCCACTTATTTATCCCACTATCATAAACAAATTAAAGTGATGCTTTTGTTTTGAGCTTCTCTGATCATCCAACTGAACAACCGAAAAAGTCAACAAGCATAGAATCCCCCTCTGTTCAACAAATTGTTAATCAAGTTGGGAGCTAAAATTGCCGCTTTGTATTTTTCTCTTTTGATCCTCTGTTAAAGACGACATAAAAGTTGCGCACTCTTTATGACAATATCAATTGTTTTTTCCCACCTCTAAATTCTCCCTTTATCTTTCTCATCAAATCTCTTACAAGATCACTTTTAGCCGCCTTTGATAATACGTTCGTATGCTGCTTAGAGCAGTGGCTGACCACCAGTCAATGGTAATCAGTAAGTGAGATAACAAAGGTTGATTTGGCACCTGGAATTGGACTGTTCAGTTCAGATCTTCAAGAAGAGTCTTATCCATCACGCCAAGCATTCATGTATGTTTGGCTCCAAAAAAAAAGGAGAATATATGCGGAATTCTGGAAGTGGGAACTAAACAACAACAACAACAACAACAAAAAATTAAAGCGTGAAAGCACCGTGGAGATGGACCAAAAGAAACAGAAAAAAAATGAAAATAAGACGCTTAAGAGTCTTAGGACTAAAAAACACCAGGAAAACATTCACATTCTAAAGTTTTTTTTTCTGGTGAACATACTGCAGTGAAATAACGCCAAAATATTGGAAACAAAACTATTTCAATGGAAAAAAAAGATTTTTTTCTTTTTTTTGCGTGGATAGAGAAGAAGACGAATAAGCAAAATAAAAAAAGGGACACATACACATAAAAAAAAATTGGTTCCTATCAAAGGAGATAAAAAAAATTTTTTTTTTT